TAATAATAATAATAATAATAATAATAACAAACTGACCAAGGTCAATGCTTCAGACTAATGAAAAGATCCATTTCTTTTTATCTTTTCTTCAACTAAATGATGTCAGCTCTAATAGGAGACATTTCTCAGCACACTCAGACGATGTTAAATCCTGTGGAAAATAAAAGGCCTTGCATTCCCTCAGAAAAACTGACATCAGCAGCTCCAGACTGAGATCATTTTCTGATAAAAAAAAAAGAAACTTTTTTTGTGCCAGCCTTAAAAAAGATGCTTTACTCAGTCTTTTTCTGTCAAACTCACTGGACCACAGACCAGAAAACAGAAACCTGGTTTTAAATCAGATTTGTTGTTTCTGATGTAAACTCTGGGTTATAGTAACTGAGAGTCATCATCATCAGACTCTGTACCCTCAGTGGCATGCTATTATGAAGTTTGCACAGCTGAGTTATTCACAAAGTGCTACACTTTATGCAAAATCTTTGCCTAAAACTTCATCTATACCTGTTGGGATCAACTCTGTCTGTTAGTAAAATATCTCCAGAACCACCAGAAGAAACTGAATGAAACTTTCATCAAATAATCACTGGATGCAGACTTACTGAAAAACTGATGACCTTATGGAGTCAAAACAAAAGACCGTTTTGTATTGAAAATAGTTACAAATGTAGATGTGTGAAGCAGGTCAAGCACATCGGTTTTTCAGGATAAATGCTGAATCTTCTATGGAAACTCCACTGGAATAAACAAAATCAACCAGTAAAGTTAAACTTTCATACAGACCAGAACTGAATCATATTAAACTTTCCTTTAGGATCATAGATGAGATTTTTCATAAATATCTAAGCTATATCATTTTTGAGCTTTTGGATTGGGCACAACTGCAGCAGTATTTCTGACAAAAACCTCAGTTACCTCAGTCGACCCGTGACCTGAAAGACTTAAGCTCTGCTGGTACTCTTAACAATATGGTTCATTTACAGTGGCTGCCAAAGCCAACTTAAATAACACAAACATGACTATAATTTAGTCAATAACACAGATAAATGATAAAACCCCAATTCCAAGGAAGTTGGGACACTGTGGAAAACATACACTGCAAAAACTGTCCATCTTACCAAGTTTTAAAACCTTATATCAGCCAAAAAGTATTTTTGATCTTGTTTTGAAACTGATTTACTAAACAAGAACTGATTGTG